AGGGAGGGGATAGAAGGGGGTCACACGCTGCGCCGGTCGGTACGAGGGCCATAACTCTGCTTCCCGGGGACATGATAGACATGAGAATGCGTCATGCAATTAGTTTTGTGGAGGTCGCTGGCGCGCGCATGTGTGCGCTCAGCCCGCGAGGGGCGACACACACACACACACACACACAACACAACACATACGCACACATTTAGCTATCTTTTCATATTTGGTGTGTGGTGTCACTGGGTGGTTGTGGTGGTCAGTATGGACACCCTCCTCCTGTGCATGCAGACTGATATGTTGTCACAGCGCCTCTGCGCGTTGTGTGCCTGTTAACACACTACAGTGTGTGTATTAGAGGGGAGGGGGGGAGGGGCTGACTGTAGAGTAGTGCGAGCAAAAGGGAGTGAGTGAGAGAGAAAGGTAAAGAGGGCCGTTAGGAAGCGGTCGACTCGTCTCCGTTCGGCCTCGCTCTGGGGAGGTGAGAGAGAGAGAGGGAGAGAGAGAGAGAGAGAGAGAGAGAGAGAGAGAGAGAGAGAGAGAGAGACCCCATACCGAGGCCTTCGCCCTGCTTTTACTGTCACCATAAAAATGACATATTCCGTGGCTGGCGCGCGGGCGTTCCCGTTCCAGCGGCCGGCCTGTGAAGATTGTCAGAGTCTAAGGGAGAGAGAGAGAGAGAGAGAGAGAGAGAGAGAGAGAGATTTTTCCATCCCGATAAGAGCCTCTCATGGCTGGCGGCGGTGACCGGCAGCGCTCGTATTTATGTATCTGTGTGTGTGTGTGTCTGCAGAGGCGGAGGTCGGCCAGGTGCGCGGGCCCGGCTGCGTTCACCAGGGCCGCTTCTACGCCCCGGACGCCCGCTGGACGGAGGACAACGGCTGCCTGTCGTGCAGCTGCCAGGGCGGCCAGGCGCGCTGCCAGGCCTTCATGTGCCAGGTGACCTGCGACAACCCGCGCCGCGTGCCCGGCGAGTGCTGCCCGGCCTGCGACGGTGAGTATTAGTACGAGCTCTTTTTTGTTGTCCCCGCGCAAGGGATATATCGCGCACTTGGCGCACAAGAGTGGGCTTTTTTAAAAAAAACCCTTTTCTATTGTTATCCCGTGCAGGGCAGTCGGTGGTGACCCAGGCCCAGACGTGCCCGTCGCTGGGGAACTGCACGCTCCGGTGCACGCACGGCTTCGTGCTGGACGAGGCGGGCTGCTACGCGTGCCAGTGCCACAAGGGAGGTAGGTACGCGCCGGGTTGGGGTGGTGTAGCGAGCGCCCTTCTGGCTCACACAGATCCGTTCGACAAGTCGTACGCGGCGGTGGTGGGAGCTGGAAGCGAGGCGCCTGCGAGACTCGGGGTAGGCCAGCCCGCCGTACACGCGCGCGCTGCAAGCGAGATGTGGCCTACCTAGCGGGCGCCATCTGAGAGCTGCTGGCGTTGTTTTTGCACCGGCAGGTTTTCTGCTTCGGCGAATGACGGTCGTAATTTCTATACGCCATCCCTCAGACAATGCCAGCTAGTAATTTGATATTTTCATTTGATTTGACTCGATAACAGGCTGGGATGTAAAATTTACTCTCTGCAACTGGCAAGTTGTGTTTCAGTTTATTGCATCGCGATTGCTTACTCGTCTTTTTTCTTTTGCAAAGCTTGATGACTTATCTACGCGTCTGTTCAACAATATCCTATCTGTTTCGCTGCCGCGAAAGACTATCCTATCTGTTCTACTGTTTTATTCTTTTATTTTTCAAGCATAAATAACTTGTATCAAGACATATGTGCAATTGAAAAATCAAGGGTCAAGTACAATGTTTTTGGTCCAAGAACTCTTTTTTTGTGTGTGTACTGTTAATATAGTGAAAGAGATAAGATATTGTTGCACGGACCGGCACGAACGGGTCGGTACAAGTTTGCAACAGTCGCGGAACCGATGGTTAGTTGGCAATTATTCCATATAGTCTTAATAATAGAGGAAAGGCGGAGGCTGGCAGCCCAGTTTACCAACCTCCTACTGCGTCCACAGAGCGACACCACTTGAGCGACCAGTTTTCCTTGTTCGCCGCCGTCCGTGGTCCTTGGGAGACCCAAACTTTCACGCTGATGCCATCGACTTGGTTCCCCGCCCGGCCTTTCATATTTTCGCCGTCGACGCAAACAATTCATTTCTGCGGAGAGGATTCCGGAATAAGAAACTCTCCGCCAATATACGCTGCTGCAAAATTCTTCGCAAAATTATGTCCACGCACAGCACACGGGGTGGTATACGTGGAAATTCGCCGCAACGGGTTTGCAAAACGGATTCGGTTGGCAGAGCTTTGTGCATTTCACCTCGGATAATAAATCCCGCTCGCTGCCAACTAAGAATAAACCAACTTAGGGGCGTCCGTGAAAAACAATTTCGAGTTGTTGCTGAGCCACATCTGCGCCGAGTTTTTCCTTCTCTCTCTCTCTCTCTCTCTCTCTCTCTCTCTCTCTCTCTCTCTCTCTCTCTCTCTCTCTCTCTCTCTCACACACACACACACCGGTGGTAGTGGTGGTGGACCCGTGACCAGCAACCCCCCCCCCCTCTCCCCTTTCTCCCTCTTTAGAAAAGACGGCAATTTCATAGGGCGGAGTACTTCACTTCTGTTTTCACCAATCACTTTTGGCAGTGTTTTATTGGATGCTTGTTCTTTTGACATGTATTAGTGCTTTTCGAGCTGATCGTGGCAGAAGGGCGCACGGAACCTAATAGCTTCTTGGTTGACTTTTTGGTTTTGACGTTTCTGGTACATGTTCCCTGTTTCCCTCCCCACCACAATGTTGTGTTTGTTGCACATATAATCCGCAGCTAGTTTAATAATACCGTATCGTTGCAAAGGGGTGGAACGAAACGTCGGCTTTGAATGTCGCTCGCAGGCTGCAGGCGATGCACGTATAACGGACCGTGTTGAGCCGGCCGTGCTTTTGTTCGGATTCAGGATGACATGACGTGGGGATGCCATGCTACTATACGAACATCACATTGTGAGAGATACTCGGAAAGTTTCGGGAAAATTTTACATGATGTGATGATGATGATGTGCACTCTAAATGTAAAGGGACAATTTTGTCCGCAAATTTGGAACCGATTCGTGCACATCCAGAAAAGATGAAATTTTTCCTTAAATTGGACAAAATTGTGTAAAGTCTCTCACAATTTGTCTAGTTTTAGGAACCAAATTGCATCCTTTCTGGATGTGCACGAATCGGTTCCAAATCTTCAGACAAAATTGTCCCTTTACATTTAGAGTGTGTTCTGTAAATTTGCATTATTTGAAATTGAAAAAAATGACAAGCACTATGTATTGACTTGGAATGTATTGACGAGCAAGAACATGGGCTGTCGAAAATTTACGTGCGTTGTTTAAAAGAGGGGCCATAGATTGATTCGGCTGTTTTTGTTGCAGCCGCCTGCACCCTGGAGTGCCCCGCCGGCTACGCCCAGGACGCCGCCGGCAACGAGCTGTGCGAGTGCCGCTGCCCCGCGGCCGAGACCTGCAGCAAGCGGTGCACGCACGGCTACCGCAAGGACCCCGCGGGCTGCAGCCTCTGCGCCTGCTTGCGTGAGTCGA